GTCAAGCCTATTTCTAGGTTGACTGTGGCCATTGTTTTGTGTGGGTCGAGATGTTGCCGTATTTGTGTGGTGTCCTCTTTGACCTTTAACAGGTGTGGCCCCCGGAGTATCATCCTTAAGGCAGCCATAGGTAGAATTTTCAGCCCTCAAGGGAAGGCAGGGGCAGATCATGGGCATTCCCCGCCATCCAAGGAGGCTTCCATAAATGCAGAGCTGACACATGATGCTCTGGTTCTGGGCTCACCCAAGGAATCGTCACGTCCTGCCCATGACTGCTTAACCTCACAACTGTGTATTGAGCTTCCCGCGCTACAAGGCTGCGCTCTCCGGAGATCAGCGGGGAGCAGCCCGCAGGTCAAGGACTTTTGTGGCCACACAAATAGGTACATTCTTTTTCATCGTACGTTAGACACCTTTAACGTTGTTTCAGCTGTGCCCTTAGCACGACAGAATGGGGAAGCAAAATGCGTCGGACCTGGCTTTACCTGTTCGGTCCCAACACTCAGGCGAGTGGGACCAGTGGATACGGACGTTTGGCTTTTTCCTACTCGGTACGAATTATGATCGTCGGACTTTTGAGCTTGCATGTGTGCCGTGGGGTATAACTTTGTCGGACATTATTTCCTAGCCAGCTTATGAAGAGTGTGTACCTTAGCGCGGTGACGACGACACTGAGGATTGACAGAGGATGTATGTAGGTAGGATCTTACTGCGAGAAATCGCCCACAAGAGATGTTACTCGTCTTGGCTGCGGGTAAATCTCTCAGTCAGGGTTGAGTCTCAGCAGCACAGTTTTCCATTCGCTCCAGAATTTTAACCGAGAGTTGTCATTTGATGGTACATTTAGCAAGCAATCCTTACTCATGTTCCGTTAGACTTTTCACCCATGCGTTTGGGGGCGGGCTGGTGAGAGAGTGATGGGGCACTACACCTCTAGGGGCCGCCAGCTCCGAGATCCCCTGCCAACTGAATGCTCATTTGAGACATTATCCGTGGCGCACGACGGGGACGTGCAGCAGGAGTCTTGCATGAGGTTCCGTAAAACCAGAACAGTGAAGGACTGGCGCCCGAGTGGGGTACGGAATATCTCCTTATACACATCACATCAGACTTAACTTCCCCTCATGCCTGTGACCGAAATCACCGCGCCACAGATGTGTATCAAACGGTGCGGGAAAAAAATGATACACAAACGATCTAATGGACACCGATTTTTATTCAAATATTTCAAAAATAATGTAAGCTAGTTATATGTGTGCTTTAAAAAAAAATTGGTAAAGGAAATTCCCCCCCCCCCCCTTTTCTCCCCAAGGATCTGACTAGTGGGCAGGAAGGATGGGATCCATCTGAGATACTCCCTTTCAGAGAGCAGTGTAATTTGTGAAGAAAAATTTGTGGACACAGTTGTTTTCAAGTAAAATTAAACTCTTTCCTACGCCGAGAGGGCCCGCGGCGCTTATTTCAATCAATGAGGCGCCGTCTTCACAATGAAAGCTACTTAAAAAAAAACATATACAGCACGCTATGTCCTGGGTGTACACTTTCTGTGGCCCCTGTACGTCCCTCTCTTTATTAAATCCCCCATATTTATGTAAAGCAATCCTTGCTATCCGGGCCAGATGATCAATATCGTGCCAGTTGCCGTTACCTGTTAGGACATTCCCTGATGCTCATTTGTAGGGTTTGCGAATCCAGATCAACTTTAAAAAACAAAATTATTATGTAGTGGACCTTTTTTTTTTCACGCCACTGCGTTTCGGTAAATGATGGTAGAGTTGTATTTCTATAAACCAGTCGGCGCTCGGTGAGGGATGTGGTCAAAATAACACCAGCCGCCTTTACTTCCAGAAATACTTAAGCTTGGATCGACCTGGGAGCCACGGTCCACAGTGCTGGGGGAAAATCCGACTCAGTGTAAATTCGAATCCAAAACCTCCAGCTCGACAGGCGAGTGTCTAGCTACTTAGTGTGATAGCGGGAAGAAAGAAGGAAGGAAGGAGCAGATAAATGGACATAAAGAAGAAAATTGTGATGAGGAAAAAATGTGGTAGTTCCCAGCTAAACAACAAATACAGGGAAGTAAAGGAAAGACAGGGGTTCTTCTGCGCAGAGATCCTAGAATATTTCACTGAGACCCTAACTATGAATATTTGTATAATGAGTTACATGACGTCGACCTAACTACGTGGACACACACACCTAGACGAACCATGGTCTACAGATACTAAATTAAATCAAGCGAATGAATTATGATCACATTAAACAGCTGTTTATTGTAGTCAACATATCATCAGCATGGTCCAAGAATAACATTAACATCAACAACGTGCTCGACCAGAATCTAAAATGCTAATCATCGATCTACCACCACTTAACAAATGAAACGTACCACCGCCTGCGAAATCAGTCTAATCGCGGCCTTTCCCTGAGGTCGCCATGCCTGCTGACTGGCCCAATGTGCAAAGCTGTAACAGCCAGGTAGGTCTCTCACAGGGTCCGTCCGGAAGTCAAATAGATCGCTGAAAAACTAAACAAAGTATTTTATACCCAGTGGCCAGACTTTTCCAGATTATTCCCTATCTTAATGTCTATGACTTACTGTTTATGTGGCATCTAGGTATTTTTATACCAGACTAAATCAAGATCTTCAAGCTGCTGAACTGTAGTCTTTTCCAGCCTATTACATTAGCTTCCGGTACTCCACAAAATGAACCCCTGCGTCGATGGAATTTTCCGCATCTAAATGTGGGACTTGCAGACACTCGTAATATTTTGTTATGTGTTGCACCTTCGGCCTTCATGTGCATGCCCAATCCTCCAATGCAGCAGTCACTCTGGGGCACCTCATGATCTGTTGGGTCAAGTCCAAAGGATATCGGTGTTGGCAATGAAAGAACTGATAGGCCGGTTCTGTCTTAGTTGGAGATGGCCAGGCTATGGGTCCCACTGACATCGTTAATGCGCATAGAGAAATGGAAGGCTCGGAGAATTTGAGGAGCGGCGTGTTCACTTCACTGCTAAGAAGGCGAGAACTGTGAGTAAATGTACGCATGTCGTTCAATCTCACCAGGACGGCACAACGAGCAGCCAACACCCGGTGACACAAACTGCCACCATCAGGACGAGGATCACCCGGGCACATGTCCCAGAAACCTTATTCAACCTTAAGGTTATATTAAAGCCCCCGACAACAGCACGGCAAAGCTGATGGATATGTTGAAGGGGGAATATGAGCTCCCACTGACTTATCCCGAGTACCGTCAAGATAACCCAACTTATAAGGCACTCCCACGTACATTCGTACTGCCCCCTGTACTCCCACATAACGCTCATGCTGCTTACTGTACTCCCACGTACACTAGTATTGCCCCCTGTGCTCCCATGTACACTCGTACTGCCCACTGTGCTCCCACGTACACTCGTACTGCCCTCTGTACTCCCACATAACACTCATACTGCTTACTGTACTCCCACGTACACTAGTACTGCCCCCTGTGCTCCCACGTACACTCATACTGCCCACTGTGCTCCCATGTACACTAGTACTGCCCCCTGTACTCCCACATACACTCGTACTGCCCACCGTACTCCTACGTACACTCATTATGCCCACCGTACTCCCACGAACACTTGTACTGCCCACTATACTCCCACGTACACTCATACTGCCCACTGTACTCCCACGCACACTCGTACTGCCTACTGTGCTCCCACATTTCCCGCCTGTGAAATATGAGCCACGCTTGCAAACATCACTGCACTCAGTGGGCATTGTGTAAGAACCCTACTCTTGATGCACATTTCATTTTTCTATGCGTATTCTTTGGTCTAAATCTGATGTTTGGACAATAACGTTGTCGCAGCCTGCAACTGCAAGTTAGCAGTCAGTTTGTGCGATAACTTTTTGCTCTAGTGGTCTCTCGTCAGATGGTTTAAAACTGGTAATATTAAAGTGAGGTGAGCATATATGGCTTTCATAGGTTAATGTGGTTTTCCTTTCTCGCTGCTGTTTCTACTGCTGCTGCTTTCTTCTTCTTCTTCTTCTTCTTCTTCTTCTTCTTCTTCTTCTTCTTCTTCTTCTTCTTCTTCTTCTTCTTCTTCTTCTTCTTCTTCTTCTTCTTTTCTCTTTCTTCTTCTTCTTCTTCTTTTATTTCTTCGTCGTCTTCTTCTTCTTCTTTTTCGCTGTCATCATAATCATCATCTGCATAATCATCCTCTTCTTGTTCTTCTTCATCACTATTACCATCATCATCGTCAGCGTCATCTTCTTCTGCCTCTTCTTTTTCTTCTTTTTCTTTTTGCTTCTTTCTTCTTCTTCTTCTTTACTATCATCATCATGGTCCTCATCATGATCATCATCATCTTCTTAGTCTTCGTCTTTTTTCTTAAACATCTTTGCCTTTTACTTCAGCAACAACAAAAGCTACTATTACTACTACTACTAATAATACTACTACCACCACTACTGCTACTACTGCTGCTGCTGCTACTACTATTACTACTTCTGCTGCTGCTGCTACTACCGCTGCTACTACTATTACTACTTTAACTGCTGCTGCTACTACTACTGCTACTGCGACTACTACTACCGCGACTACTACTACTACTACTACTACTACTACTACTACTACTACTACTACTACTACTACTACTACTACTACTACTACTACTACTACTATACTACTGCTACTACTGCTACTACTGCTTCTACTACTGCTACTACTGCTACTACTGCTTCTACTACTACTACTACCACTACTACCACTACTACTACTACTACTACTACTACTACTACTACTACTACTACTACTACTACTACTACTACTACTACTACCTCTTCTGCTTCTTCTTCTTCTTTACCACCACTGTTAACATCATCTTCTGCTTTGTCCCCCCCCCCCCTCCCCTCCTCGTATATTATTTGATATTTAAACACGCAACTAACCATATATACGCCCCGCCCCCTCCCCCCACCCACCTCCCTCCAGCACACAAAGAAAATGTCCTCTTCCACAGCCTACCCTCTTGGCATGCTTGGTCTGGTCCTTCTTGGCGTAGGTGAGCTCCTGCACATCATCGGCCTCTCCACGCCTGAGTGGTCTGTCTACAGTTCCATCAGAGTGGGACTCTGGGAAGCTTGTAATCCAACATGCCAGCAATATATACTGAAACCCGGTAGGTTTTGTGTTTTGTCAGTTTTTCTGCATATTTTATATTTCAGATCATAAATGGGTGAGATTGATTTACCGTAGCCAGATAGTCAAGTAGTCTGCATTGCACCCGGAAAGTCGCAGGTTCGTTCGTGGACGTCGTTGTTCAATGTCTTTGTAGCTGCCAGAGCTAAGAAAACGGTGCTTTGTGCAAATCTCTAGGCAAGCGCCCAACCGCTATCATGGAAAGAGATGGGACAAAGTCCCGTGCAGGGGACAAACGAATTTATTCAGCCGAGTCCGAGTGAGACGATCGGCTACTCATTTGCCTTGAGTACTGCAGACGGATTAATACATTCTCTCGGTGGTGACATAATGTCAAGGCAACACAGTTAGGCTAAGGCCATCAGCAGCGACTAACGATCCCGAGGCGACTTGAATGCCTACATCGTCATCCTGTGTGGTTACGTTAGTTCCTGGGTCAAGTCAGGCTTTGGTCCAACTAATTTATTCACCTGCCTAAACATTTTTATCCGTGGAAATAAATACACATAACTTTATGTTTCTTAATGCCAAGTCTCTTACCAAGTTGCTAAGCCATTTGATTCCCGATTTAGAAACTGGTTCTTTTCCACCCCATCTCGTCGACTGTGAGATTTGGTGGGGAATTCCTTGGGAGTTCGCCGGAAGGTCAGATAGTTGGCGGGGGGGGGGGGGGGGGGGGGGGGGCTAGTTTTAGTCGTAATTGTTCATTTAAAAGTAACACTACAACATTACAACTGCTATTTTCTAAGCGAGTCGTGTGTTGGATGTTTTCAGCGTGTTCATCCTTTTTTGCATCATCATTTCCAGTGTGTGTTACTTTCGTTCGTTGGTCGCCGTTCATGTACCCTGTTTGCAAGCAGTGTACTCACTTCGTGACTTCGCCTTCCTTGTGAACTTACTTGACCTGTCAGCATTCATGTATCTAGCCCTAACACTAACCGAGAAGTATGCATACATAGAGGCTGTCGCTCCTTGTCAGGGCCCTGCCTGCCGACACCCCAAGATGGCCCTTTTCAGGGCCCACTGCAAAATATCCCCAATTCGCATAACACTACCTATGGTCTGGCCAAGAGTAACATCGATTCAAGCGGAAATAACCCTAACCCCCTTATACTATAGGACCTTATGGTAAACTCACTAGGAATTTCCTACCAAATCTCGCAGCTGACGAAAATGGTGTGAAAATGTGGAAAATTAAACATACAAAAATACCATCAGACAGATTGTAGAAAACAACTAATTTTTGAAAATACATTGAGAAAAAGGAGATCCTATGGTCTCTGCACGTCGTTAGTGCAGTCACTTTAACTTTAACAGACGCTGCGTCCAAAAAGATCCGACATTGAGCAAGACTGTGCCCAATAAGCAATTGTAACTACATCTTCTTCTTCTTCTTTTTTACTTTCTCCTTTAGCTATTTGTGTGTAGAGGGATATATAACGTTCTGCTTCTCACTCTCCTGGTTTCTTTGATGGGTACAGCTCACGTTTTCAGACCCAGAAACAGAGACTTCCATTCCCATTCATGACTTGCCGTGTCAAGGGGCGTGTCCTATGTTGCCGGTGTGTCACACTTGGTGACTGCCTACCAAAACGCAGCATTTTACTAGTTTTTCTCACCGGTCGGCGATATCTCGCGTGTTGTATATTCCAGGATATGCGCGTTTTTAACGATCACTAAACATGCAGTACTGGCCCGAATCCCAGCCACACTACGTCCTATGAGAGAGTGCAGCCTACGTCCCACGACTGCATGCAGCCTAGGTCGTGCGACTGTTTACATAGGACACATCTTTCGACACATAAGTTCATGAATAGAAAGGGAAGTCACTATATTTCTGGGTCCGAAAACAAGAGTTGAACCCTCCGATGTTATCGTTCCTTCTTGTTCTTGGTGTAGCTTGCTCTCTACATTCTTCTCGTTTTTTGACGTATGCCTTGTATGGTATGGCGTTTTGTTCTCTCCTTTCGACTACACAAGGTTCTTTCGTAATAAGTCACAACAGATGACGTCATTGGGTAGTCCAGTATTTTATAGGGTGGTAAGACCGGGTTTCCCTGCTTTGTGGTGCTTTTAACTATGCCAAAACATCTAGAACTGGCCCTAACCCCAACCCACCTACCTCCCACGAGAGAGTGCAGCCTAGGTCCCATGACGGCATGCAGCCTATCTACCACCCTCTGAAATATTGGACTGTCTGTTTGGGGTGAATACAAACGAAAGCACCATTTAATGACGTTGTTTATTCACAGTAAATGACAATAACCTAAATCCTATCTCTCAATGTCAACGCTTCAGTCTGAACCACACAGCTATATATGTGATGTTAATAATTGTGATGTTAATAATTATTAGCCGTCCCCTTGTAGGATGCAATTTTTCGTTATTTTGAAGCCCCACCCTGGTTCTTGCAGGGGGCCCTAATATAACCTAACGGTTGAAGGGGGTTTCCGGGACCTCTCCACGTGTTATCCTGATCCGCATGGTTGCACCTTGTGTCACCGGGTGTTTATCGCTCTGTGTGATGTCCTGGTGGGGTAAAAATTACTTACCTATATATATATTTGATGTCAGAACCATCTCTTAATGTCAACACTTCAACTTTAATCCCAGAAACCGTGTTTGTTTTTCAGCTGAAGTTGAGGTTTGTGAGGCGTTCGCTATTATAGGGATGTTGGCTGGTCTCCTGGCTGCAGCCCTTGGCTTGATGTTCTTTGTTCTGACCCTCGCCAACAAAAGTGTTCGGCTCCTTGCCATAGGCGCGGCTGTTGCTGCAAATGTTGCTCGTGAGTACTGTTAACTTGTCTCATTTGCTTTTTCCTGCGTGGGTTTTGGTCCCCCCCCCCCCACCCCCACTCCCCGAGGGGGGGGAGGAGGGGTGTCCATGACCACCGCCTTCTCCAGATAAATAAAGTCGGCCGTGCCCGTGACCATCGCCTTCCCCAGATAAATAAAGTCGGCCGTGGCCGTGACGATCGCATTTTCAGAATTTTTGCGCTTGAGTTGAATAACACAGAAGTAGTGTCTGAAAGAAGGCACGGGGTTGGGAAGGCAAAGGGGCTGAAACATTCCGAGAAGGGTAACCCTTAATGACGAACAGAAGCCCACTGTTGTGCTGGCACCTCCCTTGAGTTTTCCTTACATCTCTTACCTCTGAAATGAGATTCACTAGTTGTGTTGTTTGTGTGTGTGTATATTCTTGTTCGTGCTTGTGGTGTTGTAGATTTATGTGATGTGCTTATGAGGGCTCTGCTGCCGAAACATTCACTTGTTGTTTGTGATATTGTGTGGCTGACTGGTTATACATTTCGTTTAGTTTGATTTCCTTCAGGCATAGTCGTATATTAGTCAACATAACAACTTGGTGAGATAGAGTGAGGTAAAGTAACAGCTTTGTGAGATAAAATGAGATAGAATGAGGCGAAGTGATATCCACCGGAGTTGGGGTTATGGTTAGGGTTAGGATTAGCGATAGTCAGTGTCTCTGAGGTGGTAGGGGCTGTCAAAGATCATAACCCTATCTTCCTATCTCCCAGAAACTCTGGGATTTCCTTTTTGAGAATTTTTTTTTTCAAGTACCACTAAAAGACCTAGAAGCCACGGTAAATCGAAACTTGTTTCTTTTCCACAGTGATCTCAATTCTGGTGTGTGTGATCGTCTGGGGCGCAGCTGTCCACCCTGGAGGGATTGTCAAGATTGGCTACTCTTTTGCCTTGAGTATTGCAGGCGGAATAATACATTCTCTCGGTGGTGACATTATCTTTATAATGTCAAGGCAACACAGTTAGGTGAAGGTCATCAGCAGCGACTAACAATCCCGAGGCGACACGAATGCCTACATCGTCATCCTGTGTGATTACGTTCGTTCTTGGGTCAAGATAGGCTTTGGTCCAACTAATTTATTCACCAGCCTAAACATTCATACTTGTGTTAATAAATACACATAACTACTTTTTTATGTGTTTATATATTTCTCTACTAACATACCAATTAATACATCCATATATTTACATATCCATTCGTCCGTCTGTGTGTGTGTCTGTGTGTCTGTCTGTATGTTTTTGTGTCTCTGCCTAGCAGTCTACATGCCTGTATCTGTTTCTTTTTATCTGCACACACAACCCCACAAATATACATCACCTAAACGCACGCGCGCGCGCGCACACACACACACACACACTCACACCAAACAAACAACTTTTTACACATTGTTTTCATACAAATGTCACGACTTTTAATGTGATCACTATATTTAATTTATGTGTTTTTTTTCCTGCGCCACCTTTACTTCTACGGCCAATTTCTTCAGCACCTCTAAAATATGTTTGTCTTGATCTTAGTGAAATTTACAATGTCTTTTTAAATCATTCTAATGTAAGTTTCTACGTGTATTTGTTACTTTCCAGGTAGATAACCACGTTTTATAAACACATTAAAATATTTACAGAGTTATATACCTTTGATTGCTCTTATAGCACAAGCCAATCGCAATCACTGCACAAAGTATATTCACTCATATTCTCTGTACTGCCATTGCCAGACATGGTAGTCACAACAAATTAGTAAAAAAAAAAAAAAAAGGTAACAGCGGAAATAAGATGTCTAAGAAATGCTGCAGAGGTGACCAGTCGAGATCAAATCAGAAAAGATGTCATGAGAGAAATTTAGTTTCAGAAAGTTAGTTGCGTATCCTTTACAGGACGTTGCAGAACAAACCCTAATAGCCCCTGGCTTTTGTGTGGTTTCTCTTGGCAAATTTATGTCCAGTAGTTTGCCATTGCCTCTGGACGGTCGGCTTTCTTGATACCACTGTCGAAACCAACGCAAGGCACATTGTCCGCAGCTGGGATCGAACCCGGCATCCCGGCATTACGAAGCGAAGCGTTCGCATCAACTTAGCCACAGAGCCGACTATTTAGTTTCAGAACCACTTCTAAATTACATACAGAGACAGCATATAAAATGGGTTGCTTATATAGAGAGAGAATGTCTTGATATGCCATGCCAAACAAGGCATGCTTTAACTTAGTTCATGACTGCGTTTTGAACTCTTCTAGATTTGTTACATATTTTGAAAAATGTTTCAATCAGTCCTTTTTAAAAATGATTGTTCCAGTAGTAAATTTTGAGACATTTCTTAAAGTCTTATCATATGTTGCTTTTGTAAATGTGCGTGTGCGCACATACTCGTTAAAACGGCTTTAGCTGTATGTGTTCGGAACTAAATAAATAATGTGCATGTGATTCGTCTAACGCTTAATAGGAAATGAACTGTTCCATATATAACTGCAGTCTAGTTTTCCAAAACTAAAACGTTGCATTTGCAAATTGAATGAATGCAAGTTATAAACATTTTCTGACAATAAAGTAGTTGATTACTTTGAAAAAAAAAAAAAAATAGGAAAAAGTCGTAAGACCAGGGTCGTGCCGTACTTTGATACACAGAAGTAGCCGCATCAAGAGGTACCGTCACGGGGCGGTATAAGCAACGAAATCTAATTACAAATTCTACTTTTGATGTGACAGTGCAGAGCTGTTATTATTGTTCATTATTATTATTTTAATAATTCGCGACCGCTACTAAATTATCACAAAAGACAATTAATTGCGCATGATTCGTTTTGACAATTTTGCTTTCAGCTTACAAATATAAAACAATATTTGGTTTTGGTGTTAGTTTGTTTGGAGAAGTGGCGGCATTTCGACATTGAAGAATTACATAATACAGAGACAATCAACCGTAGGACCCTGCGTTGATTAAGTAAGTGAAAAAAATTAAGGTCCCTTTTCCATGCCTTTAGGCGTATAGGGCATATAGGGCTAGACCTATATTTGTATAGACCAACCGGCACAAGATGGGTGATGTGGTCAGCAGAAATTGCACCCGGGTTCCACTCAAGGCTGTAGGTAGCGAACATACGACCTTCCGATCCGCACGCGAGCGTCTAGCCGCTACGCCACGGCAACTCCCAGTAAAATATGGAACGCTTCACAAATTTGCGTGCCATCCTTGCGCAGGGGCCATGCTACCTTTTCTGTATCGTTCCACTTTTAGTATAAATACTGCGCAAACAGTACGCATAGATCAAGGGGTAGACCACAAATGAGATAAAATGATAACTCAGAGAAATTCTACAACAGCACAAACTGGCAATTGTAGAGGTGAACAGGAGACTAAGAATCAGAAACCTATATCTCCCTCGATATCAGAAGCGATTCAAGACGAAGTGAAAGAAGATTTACCTTTTATAGACGGAAAAGCACTTGAAGTTAAAGCTGCACCTTGCTCTTATCTCATCTCATGGAAAGCCTCGCAGCGAAAAGGGCAGGAAGAAATCTTTGGAACTAGCCCTTCTGTTCATTCGTATTAAGTACTTTTTAGTGTCTCTGATATTTCTGTGGTCCATCGTCTGCGTGATCGACCTCTGGCTCTGTTACCGCTGTATCTGTATAACATTGTTCTCTGTGGTACCGTGTCTAATTTCAGTTTGTTACATGGCCAAACCATTTGATTTATTGTCTAATTATATTTTCCGCTTTGGTTCTGTGCCATCTCTCCTCCTGATATCATCGTTCTAAAGTCGATTTTTCCTCGTTACACCAAGCATAGTACGTAAACATTTCATTTCTGTCGTGATTATTTAACAACAAGCAGCCATCAGAGCAGCTGGTGAAACATCTGATTGGTTCGAGGTGCAAAAGGGGGTGAGGCAGGGGTGCATTCTCTCACCATACCTATTCAATATATACGCAGAAAATATAATGAGAAATGTCCAAAATGACCAGACTTGTGACAGTTATGATCCGCTCAAAATTGGTGGCAACCCTATTCAGGAACTCCTTTCGAACAGTGTAAAGGGAATAGAAAATTTAATATTGGCTGTCCAAAACCACAGTGAAGATCAAAATCTGTTCTTGAATTTTAACAAAACGAAAATGATGTCCACAGATAAAACTGGCTGTCACCCAAAAATAACAATAAATGATGAAGAAATTGAAAATGTCACAAACTTTGAATATCTAGGCTCTATAATAAACAACAATGGAGACTGTTCAACAAAAATTAAAAGGAGGATGGCCATAGCAATGCAAAGATCGATCAGCCTTAAAAGTCTATGGTTAAGCACCAGCAAGGAAATAAAAATTAGAATTTTGAGAGCATGCATTTTCCTTGTGGCTACATACGGATGTGAGTCATGTACTATCTCTCAGTCCTTAAGAAAGAGAATAGGGGCCTTTGAGCTGAAATGCTATAGAAAGATTCTCAGAATATCTTGGACAAAGAAGATGAGAAATATTGACATCTTAAAAGATCTGAGCATCAAGGAAGATTGGCTAATAAACAGCATCCTTTCTCGAAAGCTGAAATATTTTGGTCATATCAAGCGCCACGACGGATTAAAAAAAATTATAGCAGAAGGCATGGTACCAGGAAGCAGGGGTCAGGGGTCGACCGACACGAAGATGGGCACAGGATATAAGTGACTCCTTGAGTGTGAAAGTGCATGAGGCGGGAGAACTGGCGAGAGACCGAGTTTCTTTCAGGCAGACTGTGATGAGAGCGACGTTCTGCAAAGGACCTGCTTCATGATGATCTAGTAAAGGCGTACACATTCGACTAGTGAAGACAGTTTCAGTTCTGGGAGAAAAAAGAAGTGAACTCAGTGCTTTCTCTGTTATATTATCTAATCATGACCGACTGTCGACCGTCACTATCTAATACACCCTCTGATTTCAACATGTTTCCTTCTACTTTTATGATAACTCAACCTTCCCGTGTGGGTTTCGGGAGGGTGGGGGGGGGGGATATAGACTCACCGCCATTAATAAACAAATCAGGAAAGTAATCTAATTAGGGGTGATTTCTTCGAGATAGGAGTGGATCTAGAATTGGATAAACTAAAAACACTTGGGAGATATACTGAAGAGGAGATCGGTCATGTCCGATATGCGATCAAGATGATCATTAAAGTGAACAATGAACGGAATGCATCTGCGTGAGAAGCGAGGAACCAGACGTATGCATACAAATAAGCCAAATCTAGGAAGCGGATTTGCGAGCAAAACTCAAGTTCTGGTACAAGACTGAATTTCATAAGTTGACGAACAGTTGAACTTTCCGTCAGAGTTTACAGCTGGTGAACTCAAAAAGATCAATTCATGCGAATCCATCTATGCTCATCTGTGTGAACTTGCCAAAGTAGCAAATAATGATTCAGTCTAAACAGAGAGCTAGATGTCGGGTTTTTAAAAAAAAATCTTTAACTTCTTTTCTTCTCTTTAACGGGTTCCCGTCAATGTATGTACAAGTAAAAGTATATCCCAGATGCCCGTCAACACGTACACGCCCAAGGAGCGAAGAACTCTTCAAGCTAGGGGGAGAACAGAAGTTGGGGGCTGTCTCTGTTTTACACAGAACCGGGTCACGTCTGCTAGACCATGGCGGTGTTCGCGGAGCCACCATCTCAGGTAAAACTTGTCGCTGTGTCGGAATCTTTGCTTCTTCTCACTTGCCATCTTTGCTTCACTTAATTATGTACAGCTGTGACAACTTTTGACACCGTAATCAGCATCGCTGTCCAGAATTCTGTTTGCACAGAAAGGGTTTGTTGTATCTTAATTCTTATCGAGCGACCACCTCCTCCAAGTTTCGAGTAGTCGTCAGTTACCAGACTACTAACTCAACTAACTGGAGGCACCTCCCTTGCAACACAACTGCTTCCAAAACCTACATTGTAATTCTCGTGTCACATGGTTCTTCATCATACGCGTGTTGATGCTGCTCTAT